TAATATGAAGTACAATATAAGTATTTGCTAACGTTTAACATGCTAACGTTACGTATAACATGTTATAGTAAGGTGTAGTATTGATTAGTACTGTGTAGTACTGTGTATTACTGTGTAGTATTGATTAGTACTGTGTAGTACTGTGTAGTATTGATTAGTACTGTGTAGTATTGTGTAGTATTGTGTATTACTGTGTAGTATTGTGTAGTATTGTGTAGTACTGCGTAGTATTGTGTAGTATTGTGTAGTATTGTGTAGTACTGCGTAGTATTGTGTAGTATTGTGTAGTATTGTGTAGTACTGTGTAGTACTGTGTAGTACTGTGTAGTATTGTGTAGTATTGTGTAGTACTGTGTAGTATTGTGTAGTATTGTGTAGTACTGTGTAGTATTGTGTAGTATTGTGTAGTACTGTGTAGTACTGTGTAGTATTGTGTAGTATTGTGTAGTACTGTGTAGTACTGTGTAGTATTGTGTAGTATTGTGTAGTACTGCGTAGTATTGTGTAGTATTGTGTAGTACTGTGTAGTATTGTGTAGTATTGTGTAGTATTGTGTAGTACTGTGTAGTACTGTGTAGTATTGTGTAGTATTGTGTAGTATTGTGTAGTACTGTGTAGTACTGTGTAGTACTGTGTAGTACTGTGTAGTATTGTGTAGTATTGTGTAGTACTGTGTAGTATTGTGTAGTACTGTGTAGTATTGTGTAGTATTGTGTAGTACTGCGTAGTATTGTGTAGTATTGTGTAGTATTGTGTAGTACTGCGTAGTATTGTGTAGTATTGTGTAGTATTGTGTAGTATTGTGTAGTATTGTGTAGTACTGCGTAGTAACAAGACTCCCTCCTCTTCCTCACAGGAATGCACAAGAAGTCTGTTGAAATCACAAAGAAGTGTCCGAGCCCCCGGGAGGCCGAGTCCCCCCGAAACGAGACGTTCTGCGAGGAACGACGAGGAGGAGGTGAGGAGAAGAGGAAGGAAGAGGAGGAGGAGGAAGAGGAGGAGCTGAAGATGGAGGAAGAGGAAGAGGAGGAAGAGGAGGAAGCCATCGACCTATCTAGCTCCTCGAAGCAGACGGAGGAGGGGGGGAGGAACGCTTCGTCGCCACAGCAACAGAGCGGCCAATCAGACGATCGCAGCTGAAGATCGAGACTGACGCCATCCCATAATACTCCCTCTCAGATCAGACACTGCATCAGCTCCAACACAGAACTCAGCGATCAGCCAATGAGAGAGCAGCACTTACGTCTATGCAAGTTTTCACTTTTGGCGAGAAATGCTACTTTCGGCTAGCACGCTAAATGGCTAGCGTTCACATTATTCATTTATTGATGTATTTATTTATTTATTGTAGTCATAGTGATGGGCACTTACAATACGCACCTTTGTTTGGAAAGCTAATAATACAGAAAAGAAGAATTCAAAAGAAAAAACTAAATAAAGTTATTATCATCCACAAAGAGAATATTCAGAAAGGTAAAAGAAACTCCTGATGCTAATATTTTATTATGCTAACGCCATTTTGGCATGCTAATACAAGTTAGCATAATAACATTTTACTATTTACTTCGTTCTCCTATTTGTTATTTAGGCATGCTAATACATTTCAGAATACTAGCGTTAAAGCTTTTATATCTTCTTAATTTATTACATTTTTAACTGTATTAATATTTAATTATATAACATTTCACTGGTGAGCGCTATCAGGCTCCTCCTCCGTGATGTATCAGGCTCCTCCTCCGTGATGTATCAGGTTCCTCCTCCGTGATGCTATCATGCTACCATGCTATCAAGCTCCTCCGTGATGATGCATCAGTTTCTCCAATTAGCGACCTCTCTTTGCTCCCAGGATGAAAACATGCTAACGTGCTACATGCTAACGTGCTAACGTGCTAAGACGACCGGAGAACTGTCCGGGTGTAAATACTGTCTTTGTGTTTTTGTTTGTACTCAGAGTTTTATATCCGTGTTTAAAATAAGAAGCTATGAATGTGTTATTCCTGTTGTGTTTAAAGGCGCTCTGTGGAGGAATGTCATTTACATATTTAAAAAGCTGTTATAATTATTCATATTATTAATGTCAGTGTGTTCACCAGGTGTGTACAGCAGGAGTGTTCACCAGGTGTGTACAGCAGCAGGGCGGTGAATAAAAACAAAGTATTTTTTGAATCATGATTTTTTTATTCAACAAAAACACTGTGAATATGAAATGAGCACTTAGGGAGGTAAGAATGGAGGAACCAGCTTGAGTGCGCTAGAATCTGAAAGTACACAACCAAATGTGCCTCTTCCTTCAGACTTGCTCACAGAGCCCCTCCTCCAACACACACGAACGCACACATGACCAAAGAGGGCACGAGATAGAGAGGCGAAGTCCCTCCCCTTCAGGTGGACCTCCATGGGACCTTATTTCGGAAAAATTATGTATTGAAGTCAATGGAGAGAGAAAGATTATCTTTTGATCCTGTTTGAATTGTGCCATGAATTACACATATGATGTTTGTCAATTTAAAAGATCATTTAAAATTTAAAAAAAAATGTTTTGCCATAAAACTGTGAAGTAACACATTTTTTTGTGTGAAACGCTGAATGAACTACATCTGGTCTCGCAGGACAACACACGTCACCAAGATGGCCGTCACTACTGTCTTTCCAAAAAAGGGATTGACTACCCTCACTATCTCCACAATGAAACACTTCCAGAAGAATGTCATGCAAAGCTGCCTGCCTGCCTGCCTTTGATTCTCCCTGAACTGCCTGATCTTTTTAATGTTCAATGTTAACCATTTGTGCAGATAGCATGAAGTAGAAAAGATCGCTGATGCTAATGTAGCGTTTGCATGTCTCCCCCGGGCTTAAACGGAGTATTATAGAATGATCACACCGGTGACAGTACTCTTCAAAGGGTTCACGAAATATGACTACTACTCTTACTGTTTAACATGTTGGGTTACTTAATGTTACTTCATGTTAAGGCTAATAAAAATGACAAGGCTAAGGCTGAAATGCTAACTAACGTGCTAGCTACTAGCTAGGTAGCTAACTTGATCCAGCCACTCCTGGTCCTTTCATCAGATGGGAAGCGAAAGAACGAGCAAGACCCATTGCTGGTATGATAACAACCTGGTACAAAGCACACAGGCATCTTGTTAAAGTTATCTTAGCCATCTCTTATATTCAGTGGAGGAAAACAATGATGACATCACTGACGCGACTCTTTTCATGGTCTTATATTTCAACAGTTTCCTTTTTGACAAGGAAATGACTTTTTAAGATTGACAAACATCATATGTGTAATTCGTGGCACAATTCAAACGGGATCGAAAGATACGTTTTCTCTCGCCATTGACTTCAATACATAATTTTTCCGAAATAAGGTCCCATGGTGGTCACCGGAAATGTAGGGACTTCGCCTCTCTGCTAAAAAAAAAAAGTGTATACGAGCCGTTACCTCCAGTTCCTCGCAGAAAGCAGCCAGGTCTTCGTTCCACAGGTCTGATGGACTCTTTTTCTTCAGGGTCTTCAGCTCTGTCAACTATAAGACAGCAAGTTAGGGTCAGAAATGAACAACGGTCACACATTTAAGTGAAAGAGATCAGCAAAACACAGCACAGAATATCACACCTTGTTGTCCCTCTGTTTGCAAAGCTCATCTTTCTTCTCTTTGCTCAGGTACCACATGGGCATGCTCAGCAGGTAGTTGAAGTCCGGCCCGCTGGCGTCCACCACCTCCACTCCTTCCTCGGGCGTCTCTTCCTCCACAATATCAACATTCTGACAACATGAAAAAATAGTTATTGTATCACGTAGAAGCCAATGACATAATTATGTATATTTGTTTTATTTCACATTTAAATAAAGCAATGTGAATTCGGTTAACAATTTGTTTCGTTTTCCCCTTAGCATAACAAAAAGTACCTACAAGAACACTGTTAAAGTACCGGATCGATAAGAAGCATCGATAAGAGTAGTAGTACTGTTAAAAACCTTAGCGATACCCATCTCTATATATTACACAAGTAAAGTGTTAAGAGAGTGAAATGTTGCTTTACGAATTTCAACACTTGATACCGTCACCTTTATTCCAATTTCAGATACCTGTATTTGCCGAACTGAATTAGTTTGAAGAGAGAAAACATTTTAGACTAAAATTTAAATTTTTTCTATCGGCTAAAAGTTGACTAAAACGTTTTGAGTTTTCGTCGACTAAAACTAGACTAAAACTACAAAGGATAGAAATGACTAAAATGTGGCTAAAACTAATAACCATTTTCGTCTAAAGACTAAATCAAAAATAGCTGCCAAAATGAACACTGGTAGAAGCAGATTATAATCTAGCATCCATGAGTCAGACCTACCTTCTCCTGTGCCTGTTTCCAAGCCTTCACTGGGTCGGAGTCGAAGCCCATCTCCTGCAG